TATATATATATATATGTGTGTGTGTGTGTATGTATCATATTTATATTTAAATGACTCTGTATGACAGTTATAGCATGTTTATGGACTGATCTTTCTTATTATTAGTTTTATTAAACCCTTTCAATGAGAACAGCAAAGAAAAAATATCTAAACTCTTCTGTGAAGCTTTGAATTCAGTAACATCGCTGCTCTGTTGTGTTTTGGTTCAGTTGTGATAAATGTCACATGCTGAAAGATCAGACACCACACCTTGAGAAGTCCTGGGTGTTTCATCGTAGCGCTGCAACAAGAAGAAAAAAGCAACATGAATTTAATTTTAAAATTTTACATTTTCAGGAAAAAAAACAAAAAAACAAAAGAGATTTGGATACACACATTAAAGCGATCTAAAGGAAGAGCTGGTCCAGGGGGTCCAGGTGGCCCTGGTGGTCCTGGTGGTCCTGGAAATCCCTGATAGAAACACAGTTATTTTACTTTTTGTTCTCTGGACTCAGAGCAATGATTATTTAAATGCTATTTTCAATAAAAAAAGCCAGTAATTTCATACTTTTTGGGAGAAAACAATGCTTCCTGACAAATATATCTCTTCTTGTGTTCAGCATTAAACAAGAGGGAAGTAATTATTTCATTTCATTGGCAATCAGTGATTTGTTTAAGCATGAAATTATTAAATCCAGTAAGACATCATCAGTTTTTCACGTTGTTTCTAATCAAAGGTAAACAGGGATGTTGGAAGCTTCTTACAGATAAACCTTGAGATCTAAGCATTATAAAAAATATTACAACTTACTGGATAACCATAACCTGARCCTCCTCCTGGCTCTCCTTTTTCACCCTTGTATCCGTTCACACCTGGACGACCCTGAGAAATAAAAGTCATGAGTCAGCTTTCTTTTTTTCTCTGCACTTCAAAACATACAAAAAATAAATAGTTAAAGACCTAGCATGTCTTTAAGGAATGTACACCTGCTGTATTTTAAATTAATGTCAACTTTAGCTAAACTTTTGTTTTTACAAAGTTTTAGTTGTTTTGGTGAAATCTAAATAATGTATTCAATAGTGGGCATCAGCCAGCTAAAGCGCAAATCCGCTAATAGCGGATCTAAATGTTTCGTTTGCGCTTTAGTGGTCTTATTAATTTTTATAATTTATAAGTGGACTTGCAATTTCTAAAATTAAAATGCAGTACAACTAATAACTAATTACTGTATCTACCAGTCATATTATCTTGAACAGCAAAATGTATGGCTGTCAATGACTCACAACACATGATCTATCCAACAGCAACTCTCCCAGATAAACACACTTATTGGAAACGTATACATCCTTGCTGACTGTTGGTTTCGGTCAGGGTTCTCATTTCCCACAATGCTTTGTGTCTGCTTATGTAGCAGGAAGGCAATAACAAAAGCAGTAAACGTTTCTAATCCATACTAAAATTTTGTATGTATTGATTTATTTTACTTTACAATCGGAGCTCCTTTTTAAAAAATAAAGTTTAAACGCTGGAGCTCAATACTTGACATAACTGGTCAAAGCAACGAGGTTAGAGGCTCAGAAATGATTTAAAGATGTTATGCTGATGAACACTGACATCTAGTGGTCAACTTGAGCAACTACATGGAAATTTTTTAAATCCGAGCTCTTATTTTGAAAGGAAGATAGTTTCCTGTACTGCGTGCTTTCGTTTCCCATCACAAATCAAATCCGTCATGTACCC